TGCTTCCCTGCACGACCGCACGTGCTGCACCTCGCCTCTCAGCGCCAGCAGCAGCCCACGAGCAATTACTCCAGCAGCGCTGCCGCTAGCATGCGAGTGCCCGAATGAGGCTGCGAGGGGAGAGCTCTTTCCTTTATGGAAAGAGCTGGCCTGCTCGCGCAGCCTGGCTGCACTGGCCTGGGCCAGAAGCTTCTGGAAGGCCCCAGGATGCTGCCTTTGCTCTACAGCTACTGGGCCTTGTTCGGTTGGGCCTCCCAACTGTCAGTGTATGAGGCTGCGATTCACGCCCAGGGCCTGTATTCTTTGGAAAGGCCCGGTAGACCGTGGAAGTGTCTTTGTTGCTCGGTCTGTGTTTCTTTCAACCAACTGGCGCATTGCAACTGCCTGTACCCCAAATGTGAAATTGACAGTCAAAGGCCTCTTGTGAAATATCAGGCCCGCCTTCACTTAGGGCGGTCACAACTGTAACCGGGGCCCCTCAGGCTTGCCGAGGACCCAGAGCCTCGCACTACCGACCACTACTACTAATTGTAGGCATACGGGGAACCCCGTAGGTAAAGCTCGATCCGCAAGGAAAAAGCAAAAAAAAAAAAAAAAAACCCTATGTGGACCATTTCTTGATTTGAGTCACAAATTGTGTGTCATCCTTGTGGGATTGTCATGCTAATCTTCTCTGTTTCATACTGAATTTGACGGATGTCCCAAAGGACTGAAGAATTGTAGTTTTTTTTTTTTTTTTTAAAGGGTGACCGCCTTGGGATAGGTGACTTAGACACTTGGAATCGGAATATCAAGAATTACCTGAGGCTGGTCCATGAGCTATAGAACAGCCAACGTTGAACTGACCAGCCGCAGGTAATTCAGACTTCTTTGATTCATCCGATTCCATCAGAATTGAAACTCAGCTCTGTCTATCAACAGTTACGTTGGACCCGTGGTCCTTGAGCTATAGAATAACCAACATCGAACTGACCAACATCAGGTAATTCGGAGTTCTTTTCTTCATCTGATAAAAAAAAAGGGAGTTCTTTAAACCACCAGTACCTCACCAGCTAAAGAAAAACTCGCGGCCGCAGCTTTCGGCTGTTGGGGCTGCCTCATTCTGGAGGCTGGTCGCTTCAGGGTCGGGCTTTTAACCAAAAAAAGACATTCCATATGGCTTTCTCAAACAAGGGAAAAAAAAAAAAAAGAATGTGTGTGTGTGTGTGTGTGTCCTTATCGTTGTAAAATTCGAGCACCTGGTTTTGCTCATTTACAAGGGCTTGATTTTATGTCGAAACATCACATGCTCGCAGATGTGGTTACTATCATAGGTACTCAGGATATTGTGTTCGGAGAAGTAGATAGGTCACGCCAGAAGTCGCGGGTTCAAATCCCGTTTTTCCCGGGAGGTATGGCTGAGTGGCTGAAGGCATTGGTTTGCTAAATCAACATACAACAAGATTGTATCATGGGTTCAAATCCCATTCACGCTTGTTTGTAGGCAAGCCCACTGGTTAAGTACCGCTTTCTCTGATGGAGACTCTAATCATTATTAGTATGCGCAACGTGCATCCCCGGACTGCGAATTCGGGGCTTTTCTTTTGCCAACGTATATTATATTGGCTAAAGTAAAAAACAGGAAAATAGTAGAGAAGATAGGCATTGTACTGACTAAACCTCCATAATATTTAACAAGTCGGGTTTTATGTCGATCATATAAAGCACCTATGTGTGTGTGTGTGTGTGTGTGAGAGAGAGAGAGAGAGAGAGAGAGTGCACTGGCCGTTGCAGTTGAAAAGTGCAAAACACGAATGAATCTACTCGTGTTCCTGTGGGAGATTCATTCTCACTTTGCACATATAGAGAGCAGCGGGACACGGGCGCTACTCTACAAACGTGCAAAATGAGCAAGATTCATTGTCATTTTGCACATAATGCACTACGGCACGCCATCAGAGAGAGAGAGAGAGAGAGAGAGAGAGAGAATCCCGGCGGCCGCGCTGCGGCGCAGCAAACTCGCCGGGATGCACGGCTTGGTGCGTGTGCTGTGCCACGGCAACTCTCTCTCTCTCTCTCTCTCTCTCTCTCTCTCTGTGTGTGTGTGTGTGTGTGTGTGTGTGTGTGTGTGTGTGTGTGTGTGTGTGTGTGTGATGGCGCGTCACAGTGCCTTATGTGTGAAATGAGAATGAATTGTGTGCAAGATCGCTGCAAGATGCATTCTAGTTTTGTTCCTCTACACTACAAACGTGCAAAACGAGAATGCATCTTACCTCGTTCTCATGCAAGATTCATTGTCATTTTAAACATAAGGCACTACGGCTCGCCATCAGAGAGAGAGAGAGAGAGAGAGAGAGAGAGAGAGAGAGAGAAATAGAATCCCGCCGGTCGCGCTGTGGTGCAGCAAACTCGCCGGGATGCTCGGTTTGGTGCGTTTGCTCCGCCACAGCAGCGCTCTCTCTCTCTCTCTCTCTCTCTCTCTCTCTCTCTCTCTCTCTCTCTCTCTCTCTCTCTCTCTCTCTCTCTCTCTCT